TTACTATTTTGAAAATTATAACGCGTTAAATTACTCCGTTACTAAAAAAGGAATCAAATTACAGTAACGTGTTACTAAGTAATGCGTTACTGCCCAACACTGATGACGATTGTAATGGAGGTAAAGACGATTACAGTGACACCACAATTATACAATATTAGACGCGCAAATCCGTTATTATTATTATTGTGCAAACAAACAGACTGTGTGTGTGCGCTCTCTGATAGCTTTTTGTATGGGCACATTTCAGTTTGGTTGCATGTCTGGCAAGTGTTTTATAATGGACACTCACTGAAGAAGCGTGTTTTTATAGGAGTTTGCCATGGTCAGTGGTGTTTATATACATACCAACACTCACTCTGACAGAGGAACTGTTCACTGGTCATTATGAGCTGCCCTCAGATCACCACATTCAACAAATTCAGAATGTTTTTATTTACTTTTTTAGTTTGTGTTTTGCTCTGTTTAATAATTCTGAATGGATCCGTATATGTTTAGATCAAGGCGACTGGTATAGCAGTCTGTTGTCTCCGTGTGGTTCTGTTTGGTACTCAGCTTGACTTGTAGTTATTTATATATGTATAGAACATGCTCTAAACAAATGTGCCATTAATTTGTTCCTCACAGTTTTGCTGTTGCACTGTATATATTAATTGTGATTATGAAAATAAAATGTTTTTTAAAATAAGCCAAAAATAAATAAATAAACGCAACCTGTGACCCATGATTTTTTTTAACACGATTTAACAAAAGAAAAAAAGCACAAAGTTGCGTAAAATACATGGACATGGCAACTTTGGTTATTAGTCACAGTCCATAGTAATCCGCGATCTAAGAATAGACTCGAGAAGCACTGGATTAAACAATTACAATTGTGGATTAGACTCTAGAGAGAGAGAGAGATAAATGACCCTGGACCACAAAACCAGTCATAAGTAGCAAATATATCAAAACTTAATTTTTGATTAGTAATATGCATTGCTAAGAACTTCATTTGGACAACTTTAAAGGTGATTTTCTCAATATTTTGATTTTTTTACACCCTCAGATTCCAGATTTTCAAATAGTTGTATCTCTGCCAAATATTGTCCGATCCTAACAAACCATACATCAATGGAAAGCTTGTTTATGCAGCTTTCAGACTATATATATAAATCTCAATTTCAGAAAATTGACCCTAATAACTGGTTTTAATCAGGCCATTCTACAGAATTGGTCCAAAGTCGGAGTTGGAAACGTAACGATCAGCCTTATTGGAAGATGTTACAATTGTTAAAATGGAGTCAAATTATACTGTGTGAGATTTTGGAGTGTTTAAAAAGATGAGATGACAACAGACATAGAAAGAATAAATAAAATCTAGCGTCAGCATCAGTTCTGGCAGGTCACGTTAGTCAAGCTCGCATGAGCTGACTCTCAGCTGATCCACGTCTACCTATAGGGATGCGACACCTATCACAGCACTCATATATAAGGTCCTTCAGTATTATCAGCAGTTTTCGCATTGCTCAATAGATAATTACCCTCCTCCATCTCTGACTCCTCCTCTTGTCAGTCAGGATTCAGCCTTCTGATTCTCCTTTGAATCAGACTAATTTCTAAAATGTACATTAAATTATTAAATTATTATGTATGCAAATTGTAAAATATCCAAGGTACACATTTCTAGTAATTGTGCAGTTAATTCTCATATTGTATTTTCCGAATGTTTTGGAATATTTGTCCTCTCCCCAAATTTGTCACTACCGAAACACAGTAATAATAATTTAATTAGAAGGGTTATATTGACCTATTGAGATTTTGCTTACTTCTAGATTGTAAATATATTTTTTACCATTTTATTAATTTTTTTCCCAGGTAAATCAATGATATTTAATTTTTTAACAATATTTCAAGTGTAATTTATGAGATTTGTTGTATTTTTCTTTGTAAAAGGCAAAAAGTTGATCAGACTGATTTCAAAGTTAAGGATTCATTAGTTTGAATATAGATTGAACCAAAAACTATCATAACATCCAGAGGTGTAAAGTCCAGGGGTCAGAAAGTAAAAGTCCTGCCATATGTTTATTCCACCCATGAACTCAGCCAGCTGATTTCACCAGAGGAGGAACCAAGTCATTCCTTTCAAGTCAAATGCAAGTCTCAAGTCAAATCCCATGTCCTCAAAGAGTTAAAGTTAATGAGATAATTAAGTGACTAATTAAATTATGATTGTGCAGTAGTGATGAACACCTGCTGTTATTGAGAATTACAGAGGATCAGATGTTGATGTTTGATTGGTTAAAATGATGCCACCATCATGGAGATCAGTGTTTGCTTTAGTTGAGCTCTTGACCCCTGACTTCTTGTGTTAGATTTCTCTCTAACGCTTCATGTTACAGTGAGCAGCTATTTAGCTGTTTTATATGATGAGATAGTCATCATGAGCTGTCCTGAATACAACCAAAATAGCTTTTTTTTTAATTTTTTATACTATTTATATGTTAAAGGGGTCATATGATATGATTACAATTTTTCCTTTCTCTTTGGAGTGTTACAAGCTCTTGGTGCATAAAGAAGATCTGTAAAGTTACAAAGACTAAAGTCTCAAATCCAAAGAGATATTCTTTATCAAAGTTAAGAGTCAGCCACGCCTGCCTAAAACGGCTCGTTCTAACACGCCCCCACATGTCTACGTCACAATGTGGGAAGATTTGCATAACGCCGCCCAAATGTTCACGCAAAGAAAGAAGGCGTAACTTTTATTCTCGCTGTAGTATTGTTGCTGCCGCCGCCATGTCGTGAAGACGCTGTGTGCTTCGTTGTGAAAGCGAAACTACTTTGTTTGGTCTTCCAAAAGAGGACGATATCTGCTTCGTCATGCCTGGAGCTGATCCGTGCTGGTTGCTGAGGAAATAC